TTCGGAACCCTCCACCAAATTCCTTCTGGAACCCCTTGCCAAATTCCCTGCAGCACGAGACACCCCTGAAATATCTTTAAGTCATACCTGGGGTTCCCAGTCTACACAATGCAGCTTGCATCTCAATGGCCTTACTTAGTAGGAAGGCCCAATTGATCATTCAGACAATCTAGGAAAGCTTTATCATACATTAAGGACGCACCGCTGCTTCTACTCTCATGGCTCTTGCAATTTTCTGCACTGCAATAAGCAATGTCTCTAAGCAATCAATGACTTGAACATGAAATGGAATCTATAGTAAAGGTTTTAGAATCCTGTACTGAATAATGGGGGGGGGGGGGGGCAGAAGCCATACAGTTAGCAAAGGCTGAGTTTGATACAGGTAAATGATCTGTTAATTGGACGTCTGATGCAGAATAAAACACACATCAGGTTTCCAAGTTTGCGGCAGGAAATGCCGCATCAGATTGTTTTTGTTCACCGTTTCTGTCTGCTTGTGAACATCCTGCAGTGTCTGAAAGTCCTGGATGGACACCTGGCTAAACTGACCCCTTTGATAGAGATGATGGAGCTTCTCATTACTAAGAAGGCATGAATTAGAAATCTGAACATGAGGAAGGATCCAGCTGTGCCCAGTGTAGTGCCAATCACAGAATCATGCACTTGGAATGGGCCTAGAAGGCCACTGGGTCAACCCTCTGCTCAATTCAGGATTCAAGTCTCCCATCCAGATACTAACCAGGCTTGACCATGCTAAGTTTCCAAGATTCGGCAGGATCAGGCACTTCAGGCTATACCAAAGCTCATGATGTTGTGTTCATGTAAACCAAGAGTGGCACAACATAGCTAGCAATAAATAGGTTAAAAAACCCACAATGGTTCATGGTTGAATTTTGGCAGTGGTACCAACATTCAGTGGCAAATCACCACTAGTTATAATTAGTTCTAGTTATGTTACAAAATGTTGGTTGCATAAGCATCTTGCGTTCCAGCACAAGACATAGCTGGATACTACCCAAGAACTAAGGTGTAATGCCTTGAAGGGGAACAGAGAAGTATTTAGATTGCAAACTTTCAGGTCACATTCAGGGGGCATCTAAGGTATATAAGAAGGAATGTCACTGTGTTAGTTTGCTGTTTACTCAGCAGTGAAACAATCAAGATTCATCACAAGAGAACAGACGTGAAACTGACAGTTAGAATTTTTACACAGGGACTTCTTTGTTAACATCTATCTATTTTACTCTAAACATTCGATGCATTTCCAGGAGAGCTTACATAATTTTTCAGAAAAACACAAAACAGTATCACCCAGCAAATGAAAGAGCGTTCTGCAGCAAAACAATTCTCAAGAGTCTGGGAAAACACAGAGGTCTTTGCCTTGAACCGAATGGATGCCAATGTAAGTGCTAGGCATGCTTCCCTAGGGAAAAAATTCCGGAGGCAGATTGCCACGGGAGAGGAGGCCATCTCTTTTTAGGAAATTTTTTAACATTTAGGCTGCATGCTGTGGCCCTTTTAAATTGTTTTTATAGAGGTTTAATTTAATGGTTTTTAGTGTGTTTTTACTCTGTTAGTATGTTTTACATTGTAAGCCGCCTAGGAAGGCCTTGGAAATGATAGGTGGCCTATAAATATATAAATAAAATAAATAATGCAAATTAAAGCAGCAATGATATGCGCCTCACTCAATGGGAGTAAATCACATTGAGTGTACTAAGACTTCAAATGCATAGCATGTCTTCCTACTTTAATTTGCAATTGTGGGCAACTGTTCATGTGTATGACTAGTGAACCTGGGTCCTCTACACCCCTCCACTTGCATCAAAAGTCACATCAAACCTTTCTTTATGTAAATAGGTGGCTATCAGAAAATATAAAGCATGAATTTTACCCAGCACAATCTTACCTGGTTAAAAACACTCTAATGAGTTCAGAAAACAAGCCTATTCTATTGAGAATTCATAGTAAGATCCTGTAATTGCTTCTGCACCTTCAGCGAGTTCCACTGTGGAATGTTCAAGAACTGAGTGCGATATTGAAAGCAGCACCAACAAACCTCAAAGAAAGTTACCTCAAAATGACTTTCATTGAATGGAATTTTCTTCCAAGCAGATGTTTTACGTTCACAACCATATATTTCTATATATGCACATGCACTTGCTGTTTCTTTTCTGTTTCTTTACATGCTTCCTATTCACTAATAATTTTTATAAAATATTGTTAGCATTACAGCTGAATAGTCTTTTCCTGCAGAAGGTCTAATTCAGTTCTGAAGTGCTTTAGTTGTAGAGGTAAATGTGACACCAGAGGAAAAGTTTACTCTTAAGATTGCTAAATGAAATTAATAGAATATTTCGAACAAAGAGAAACGACGTCTCTTTGCCACATCTTAACCTGACCAAGTCCCAGTTGAATAGGGAGAAGGAGTTATAGTTGGATTTGGTCTTCAGGGGTTCTGAGAGGCTTCTATGGGACAAGGTAAGTCAGGGATACATTTGAGGAAGCTTCTCTGTGTTATAGCAAGTTGTGTTGTACCACAGAAGTCAGAATTGTAAGGACTATCCATTATGTTAACTTCAAGTATGAAATATAGAAATAATGGATGCCTGTTTTGTATGTCTGTAATCTATGATCTGGCTCATAAAGTCAACGCTATGATTTTCCCAGTTGTAATGCATGACTGTGATAGTTTGACCATAAGGAAAACTGAGCACCAAAGAATTAACACTTTTGAATTGTGGTGCTGGAGGAGACTCCTGACAGTCCTTTGGACTGCAAAGAAATCAAATCAGTCAATCTTAAAGGAAATCAACCCTGACTGTTCTTCAGAAAGTCAGATACTGAAGACGAAACTCAAATACTTTGGCCACCTAATGAGAAGGAAGGACTCAGTGGAGACGACCCTGATGCTGGGAACGATTGAAGGCAAAAGGAGAAGGGGATGGCAGAGGTTGAGGTGGCTAGATGGAGTTACTGAGGTGGCTAGATGGAGTTACTGTGGGCTTGGGTGGACTCCGAGGGATGGTGGACGACAGGAGTTCCTGGAAGAATGTTGCCCATGGGGTTGTGAAGAATCGGGCACAACTTAGCGACTAAACACACAATCTATGATATTTTGCAATACAGGTCATTTTACAGAAAATGGGTTTATTATGTCCGCAGTTGTAGTGGCGCTTGGGATGCAGCATCAAGGTTAACACACTTCCAGAGATCTTCCTCAAAACACAGTAACATCCCTATATTACTTTGATTAGGACTTGGATGTTTTCAGGAACAATACCAGCAAAAAATACTAAGGGAGATTTTTAGAAAAGCATTTTACTGGAGGCCATCTAGTGAGTTTAAATTGGCAGCTTCTTGCTCCTGTCCTTTGCTAGTAGACCATACAAACTCTGTATCAACAGATACCAAGAGGTGTTTTTCAGCAAGCACTCAAAACAGAAGAGCTTGAAAGCATAGTTTGCCTGCCTGGAGCACCTTTCATATTAACAAGGAGCAGTGAAGCTGACTTTTCCAAGGATCCTTACCCCTGAAGCTGCCCTTGACAAAAAAAAAAAAACCCTTTTGGTATAACACAGTAATTCCGGGATACATCCTAACTGTAGAAGATGGAGAGGATTTGGCATGCATCCTAGAAGATGAGGCAAATTGCACATGATGACCACACAGAAGAACCAATGAGTAACCAATATTCAGGGAGAAAGTATAATCAAAGCACAAATGGAAATACATCTGTGTAAAGCACACAATGCCAAATAATGAGCACATCAAATCAGAGTCTGTTCTTGAAAGTCTACTAATGGATAGCTAGACAAAATCTCTTTAATGAAATGTTTGTTCTGAACACCTCATTCTACTCCAGATATTTCTAGTGGAAGCCTATGGAAGGTGATGATTTGTAACTGGATAATTGCAGTTTACCTACCTGAAAATCCATTTTGTCTGTGTGGCTCAATTCCCCCCCCCCTTTTTATTTTTGCTGCCTTCCTTGCAATGCAAAACCATTGGGATTGACAAGTACCTGGTAGCCCAACCTATATTGGTATATGCCATATTTCCCACTTAATCATGGAGACAATACAGAAAATGCCCCTTAGGTTCACGCTCACCTCCCCTTCCTTGCATTTCCTCTTCCTTATCACTTCAAATCCCTTCTCCCTTTCTTTTCCAGCACTTTAGCATCATGCCTATGCTGAGCTTAACACTAAACATTGTTAGCTTCCATTGCAGTTTAGACACACGCTCCTTTAAAACTCCGGTTTAAGCCAACAATGTTTTGCTCTCGGTGTTATGTGGACATGATGCTAACCTTGGTCAAGAGATTGGGAAATGTTACATTTATACCAGGCCATTGGTGGACAACCTTTACCTGGGTGGCTACCAGGTGCACAGACCTTGCCCAAGTGACTCCTCTACTTAAACTGTGTACAAAGAGAACCACACTTCCTGGAACAATCCAGAGAATCTTGCCTATGGTATGGGATTCTCTCTGGCAGAAAATACTAGTGAACTAGTCCACCCACTGTTAGGCTAACTGAAAGACCCAGATTAACTGATGGATTCAAAGTTCCCATACCCTGGAAAGGGTGTTGCAAGAGAAATGAACTTTGCATGCATAATCCTGTATCATCTTTACGCTTGTGGTATACATTTGAAACCCAGGCACTGGTGGTACAGTTGGTGAGGCAAAGAGCAATTGCAGCTGGTGAGGCACAGATCTGTGCTATTTTAGTTCAAGGATTCACTGAGCATTAGCAGAAAGAAAGGGAGAAGGCAGGAAGCAGTATATTGAAACAAATGGATTGCAGAGCCAATTTGCTGCCTTCGTCTGAACGTCCTCATTAAGCTTCAGGCAGAAGGAGTCTGGAAAGCACGTAGAAAGGTTGCTCTTTTCAACAGCAGCAGTGCTCTTAGGGGCTGCACATGCTGGCATAGAGAAGCACAGGCAGCAAAGGGGAAGGGGCAGGGAGGAGGGCAGAAATAGGGCGATTACTTACATTGACAACCCTGGTTGTGCCATTCATATCCCTGCAGACACTTATCACACTTAGGCCCTGTCGTTCCCTGCTTACACTCACAAATTCCTTTTTCATTACAGCGATCATGGACTGAGCCAATACGGTTACAATTACACTCTGCAGAAACAAGACAACACATATAAACTCGGTACAGGGATAAAAAGATTGATAAGCAATTCATCACTCATACGAGTAACAACGGTCAGGTTTTAACCATAACAGAAGATCATTAACAACAGCAGAAGCAAAACCACTGCTGGCATGTCCACGTGTTAATTGATTTATCATATTAGTCTTCAACTGACAGATAAGGATCCACAATTGTGCCATGACACCAATCTAAGGTGGGTCCTATCAGTAGTTCCACCACAACAGAACTCCGTGTCTTTTTTTCTTTTTCTTTTAAAGAGAAAAGAGATAGCAGAAGAAGCGGGAAGGGAGAAAAGAAAGACTGACATATATGATAAAGTGGATTCAGTGCTACCATTTGTAATTAAAATGCTGATATCCTTCTTAAAAACACATTTTCACGATGGGCAGAAAATAAGGAGAAATAAAGCAAAGAATGAAGTCACCAGTGTCTTCAGAAGTCACTAACGGTGATGGAGCTTCAGCTCTGGTCTTCATGTTTTTAGATGAGTTTTAATGAACATTAGGAAACCTTGGTATTTCAAGAAACATCAATAGACCATCAAGTCAAATCTGTTTTAAATTATTAAAATAGGTGAGAAAGCCTTCATACTGGATGCATACTGCTGAATATTTTCTAAATGGCAATGTAAATGCACTTTACTAATTTCCAAGGTATGCTTATGAGCATTAGTTTAATTTATTCATGGCATTTTAGCGACTATAGTTTATAGGCTATTATTTTCTAACTTGCCCTCAGCATGTTAGTATACCTTTTAAATATCCCACAATATGCATCTCAAGAGGACATGATTGGTGGTTGGCAAATTAGTATCCTAGAACCTGGGTCAGTAATGGTTTTGGTGCCAACCTACCGTTTGCATTACCATGCCAATTGCATGGTTGTAGAGATGGAAAAAGAAACTTAGAACCTGAGAACCTTTAAGCAAAATAATGTGTCTGACTAAATACTGGATTAGCTATACTGAACGGATGCTTTCCTTACCCCCATTTTTGGTTCTAGGAAATATTTGTTCACATCTGGCTCCCCTTTCAGCATCAGTTCAGTAGAACTTCAAGCCAAGAGCTCCAGTCTGGTCTTCCAACAGTTCCACAAGTGGCCATCCCTTTTCCTTCTGACCTCACTCCTCTCCCTGACTTTTTAGCGATTTCCCGGATTCTGTGTTTTTCTCCCCATTCTAAAATGCTGAAATTCCTCTCCTGAGGCATAGTGACTGGCACTAAGAGCAGTACAGTACACTGGGCTGGTTTATTGGTATCTGGGCCTGTCCCTTTTCTTTTCAATGCCACTCCCTGCTGGCATGCAGCTCCTCAACAGCATCTTCAACATGGAATTGAAAGAGGTTGCCTGTAAAACGGGCTAAAAGAGGTTCACCAGCCCTGACCTAATTCTCTCCACTGAGAGGGGGACAGGATAACAGAAATCCGGATCACAGCGCCACTCCAAGTAGCCATCTGGAAATCCACAGATTAAGAAACAGTCTGTCCAAGCACTTTTCTTTCTGCTTGGCTATTGGAAAAGCAGATTTGGCCAGAGATGGTTGCCGAACACTACTCTAAATGGCCACAAGAATAATTACCACTTTGGTGTGTATGTGCTTAATGATGCTTGGAGTGCCTCGTTGTTGGATTGCTCTTATAATTTTTTTATAACTATAACGCGTTATTGGTGCTTCAGGAACTTTTTCTTTAAGAATCTGATTTTGATCGCAGTACACACATATGGGTAGAATTTAGACTTCGTGTTAATAATAATTTCTACTGCTATCAAATGCAAAGAACGCAAGTATTTCTTTTTAATCTAGAAACCATGCTGGGTGAACAGCGCTATTTTTCTTTTAATCATCCCATTTACATTTGTTCCCTGGAATTTCATTAAGAATCAGTGAGATCAGAATAGACAAAACAGGAAGGAAAATTGAGAATATTTTAACATTGCAAATAGAAAAAAATGAACTCTGCAAACAGGAAAAAGAAGTTTGAGGAGAAAATGTTATGAGCAACGAATATTATATTGGTTGCTCACATTTTAAATCCTTGCAAATTGCAAATGTCACTTCACAGAAAACTCAGTGCTAAGGGAAAATGCATCTATTAAAATAATAATTATAATTTCTGTAATTTCTATTTGTTTACTGTGTTAATTCACAAAGTTCATTACAACTTGCCCAAACTACTAAGAACATCCAACCACGGGATATGCAGCAAAAGAAAAAACATAGGTCAATTTCAAAGGGAATTTGGTTTTCAGAATTTGTTTTGCAGGGCAGCCAATTTAGATTTAAATTCAGAGGTATGCATGAAAGTAAGAACATGTAGTGGAGATGAAACCTGAGTGGCCTCCGCTAACATCAGGGGTTATTCTAGTTGGCAAAAAACAAGGAATTTTGCCCTTGCCAAAGTCAATGAAAGACAATATGAATTAGTGTGATGCAGGTATGTGGCAAAGAAAGATTAAGAACTGGGGGTGTATCCATATACACAGTTTGATCAATCATTCCCAGAGTGCCAGCTGGGGAAGTGTAGCATGGGCAGAAGAGAACTTCTAGTTCAGCACAAGATGAAAACAAATTACATAACAAGAACTTGTCGGGGCCTGTAAAGTGTGATGGATGCTGCACACAGCATCTCTGCATGATTCATGATTCTAGCTTTACCTCCTTCCAGGCAGCCTTCTGATACCTTCTGCCAGGTATTTGCACTGGGAATGATGGAATCCTCCGTTTGGCCCAGATGCAGAGGAAATGCAGCAGAAAGACCTGTGCTCAAAGGAGGATGCCCACTGTGTCTCTACATGAGTTGCTGCTCTTGGCTTGCATCTTTTTGATTAGGGGAACCCAGAGCAATAATCCATCCAGGAATGGAAAGGGAAAGGGCTGTTTTACTTTTTCCCTCTCACACTCACTCCGCACAAATCTTCTTGCATTAGAGGAAAGAGTGCCTCCACTAGTAATTTAGGGTTTTAAAAGTAAAAATGCCTTGGCTATCAGAAGTTTGGGCAGAAATCCATCCAGCAGGACAAGTAACTGCTGCAATTTTTTATGGAGAAAGATCTCCCTTACCAAACATTCCCCCAGCAAGGAGGCTGCTGCATGGGTACAGCAGTGTTTATATACCTGAAGCTTCTTTGGGAAGGACCAAGGACTTCCGGGTGCATGAACACCTCAATTGAATCATGCAGCCCGTGGAGGGTTGACTGGTGGGAGGCATTTGGCTGCTCACTCCAACTCAGTTTCCCTCTCCTGTTATGGTATCAGCCCAAAGGAGTTACAATGTTATGAATCTGAGCAGACTGCTCAGCAAACCTCAAACACCTCTTATCTCTGGAGGTGTTTTAAACTTTTGGCTAGATATGCTTGACGCTTTGGAGCTGCGCTGATGCATCCTGGCTGGGAGAAAATGTTAAGGTGACTGACTGAATGGGCACATCTACAATTGAACAGAAGTGAGTGACTGCATTTTCCCTCCTTCTCATCATTGACCCTGGTGTTCAGTGAATTCTGCATTGCTCAGACAGATGGAGTGGATCTAAGTCTCAGAAACTGCAAAAGGACGGTTTGAAAAATCCTCTTCAGAGGCACATGGCTCTTGCTACAACATTACTGGGTTTTGAGACACAAACTAGACCTTTTCCGGGACCAGTATGATGTAATATTACATTGTCTGAGACCCAACACACACAGAGAATATCAATGTGGTACAGTCCCATCTGGACATTATCAGTTAATAGTAAATAGGGGATAGCATGTCTACAAGTAATCCTTAGGTCCAGGCATGTAGAAAAAACTAGCTCATTAGGGAATCAGGTTGTAGCTCTTTTCCTAATGCATACTTTTCCTTCTACAGGGAACTTTTTTAAAAAAATGAAGAATATTCAAACAAGTATGCTGTGGCTGCAGCTTGTAGTAGTTTGATCTGGAAAGCACTGTACCACCAAGATATTCCAAATGTGTCAATACTGGTTCCTACATTTACTGAACTGTGTCCAAGAAGGTAACAACAATTTAAAACAAGCATAAGATTAGGAATTCCACTATGCTTTGGATATATTTCAGTGAGTGTTAAATAAAACCTCCTCTGTTGAACCTGCTCACACCATCTTCTTATGCTGCCATGTTTCTGATGAACAGCCGCTAGACCTGGAAAAGCTTTCTCTATGAGTCAGTTCACCTATCTGTTTCTTGAACAGTCGCAGGGCCCTCTTCTCAGTAACATGTCTGCCTGCAGTTGAGTGAGAAAAGATTTGTGCCAGTTGCTCCACATGGGGGTCCAGCTGCAGAAGGTCCTTGACTGTGGCGACAGGAGAAAGGTGTTGCCCGTAATCACGGGAAAAAAATAGCATAACTGCCTAGATCTGAGTAGAGCTTGCTTCACCACAGCAAAAATGTGGATATGGAGAACAGGGGTCATGCTTACACTCAGGCTAAGCAAACTGGGAATGGGGACTGGTTCTAAATTAGTGGACTCTATTAAGTGCTTGAGTCCTACTTAAAGCTTGAGTCCTACTTCAGTGAAATGAACAGAATTTAAGTGAGGCTAACATTGGATACAACCCAAGGCTTTCAGCTTTGAATTCTGAGGAAAATGAAAACATGCAAGCATGTTTAATATATAGAAGGAAGAGGGTACTAAAGAAATAGCTAAATAATAACAGTACAAGGAAATCTGTTAACCCCTGTGACTTTTTAAATGTACATTGACACAGCTATGTACATTTTCTGGCTTCGTGCACTCCAGATGGCCTGCCACTTCTAATAAAATTGCTTGTTTGGACGACTCCAGCCACATGCATTGTGCATTGTTTTGCGTAATGTTGGTCTCACCCACTGCAGAGTAAATTGCATAATTCTTGCTGTGGAGGCTTTCAAAGGGAGAGCTGCAGTTTAAGTATTGCGCCATCCCAAATGGTCATTATTTTAATCAACATACAGTTCTATTAAGATGCTAAGCCATTTCTGAGACCAAACACACACACACACCCCAACACTGCAATCCATGTAAAGGCTGACAAATTCTTGCAAAGTTTCAAGCTGGATATTCCTTATTTTTCCCTAAGCTGTAACAGGAAAAAAAAATGCAATGCATTTTGACTTGTGCTTGCTACAGGAAGGATATGCACACGACGACACAAAAGCCAGTGTTGCATTTACACAGAAATTCTACTGAGTTGGTTCTACTAAGTTCTAGCTGTATTCCCTGCTAGTGCCTTTGGGATGGCAGCTGCAGCATTTCAGGATATCCGGCTATGATTCTCTAAAGGTAGCTGCCAGTGATAGAAGATGAAACAGCATTGCTGTTATGTCCATGGCCCCAGTGACAGACACGGATCTACTGGCACCCAAACATTTCCTCCTGGTGCCTGGGCTTCTCATGAGAGTAAGAAGCAGGTTTTTCCTCTTCCAGTGGGTGAGACTCTTTAATCTCATTGGCTCTCTCAAGTCTCTAGGCTGGATCTAGAATGAGACTGATTCATTTAGGCCAGTCTACTCTGAGTTCCTTCCAAAGTGGCACCTTGAAAATCATCCCTGCAATCATTTCTGAACCCTCAGAGCTGCACCTGGCATGATCCTTTCTGCACTGGCCATGAGGATGTGGAGCAAGTTCAGAGTCCCAGCTCTGGCCTTGGAGCAAGTCTTTGCGGTTGGAACTGGGACTCTGAATTATCCAATGGCTCTCTGGACTCTTGACTGCTGGCTGCATGTGTGTCTATGAGTGATTCTGGATGCTTTGTCCTTTTATGGGGGAAAAAAGCATTAGAAAAGTTATCCACTGAAACAAAGGAGGATTTGAGGGATTTCATTTTATCTAGCCCCTAATGATTACTGAAAAATGCAGATTAGCACTGTGGGTTTATTGCATGGAATAGACTTTTAAGTTGCTACATTAATGAATTTTTCTATAAGTGACAGAATGATTGTGGCATGCAGAGGCAGTTTCAACCCTAGCAGAAAGCTACTAAAACAGCCTCACCACTACCATTCATAACCAACAGCACACACAACTCTTTGATGTGCAATTAATAAAGGTAGAACCACTGTGGTGGGCCACATTTTTGAGACAATTGGATAGTTAATGACCAGAGTGAAGCTATATTTTAGTGTGCTATACTATTTTATTTATTTAAACATGTATAAATTGTCTTTCTGCCTGAAAGGGCAATCAGGGTGATATACAACTTCAAACTGGCAAAAGCTGTGTCTTGGAAATACAAAACTTTGCTGCCTATGCAATGCCTGAAGGGATTCTTGCTCTAATAGAGGGGTGGCAATCTATGTTCCTCCAGATATTTTGGCCTACAACTTGCATCAACTTTAGGTTGCGCAGTCAGTGGTGAGGGGTGATAGAAGCAGAACTCCAAAACATCTGGAGTGTCATAAATTGCCCATCCTTACTATAGTGTGGAACATTTTTGATAATATATTATGATTAACTAATGGTTTTTCTTCTATTATAAGAAAAACAACGGTCAAGTATGTACCATGTATACTTTAAGACAGAATTCTGCCTTGGCAAAGAACTGCAATAGATGACTGATAATGATAAGTTATGTTATCTGACTCCAGGATCTTATGGCAGCCTTGCAGAGATTGTAACCTGCCAGTGTATGGCAGCTTAAAAAAATAGGATAATAACACCAACACCACCAACAACACAACAATAATAATACTGTGCCTTGGGTGAGGAATTGCTTTAAAAGAGGAAATGCATCACCAAAAGAGATGACAAAAAACACTGGTTTGCATAATATTTGCATGTACTACTTCATATGTATAGATGGAAATTTATAAATAATTAGTAAAATTTAAGAGAAAATACAGTACATATAACCATAGTGTAGACAGTTGTGACCAGGTAATCTGTGCTCCTGCCTGCTCAGTATGAGCTCAGGTGTTAACTGAGGATGAGTATCAGATCTTAAAGTTTTTTATCTTTAAAGCAGCCCTTCAAACCAAGATACATGACCACCCTAGCTGTGGGCTGCAAAAAACCAGCAGAATTAACAAACATTGGAAAATGGGCATCTCTCCAGGACCGGGCAGACCACAGTACAGAGCTTGCTGGCTAACTCTGGCTTCGTGAACCACAGCTTGTGCAGGCTGGTCTTTTGGCCTGCTTCTGCATTTCTGCATCGGAGATGGCATGCACTCCCTATGTCATGAGCATGGACTCTGAAATCACACGCTTCCGTTATGACATGTACACACCACTGGGAACCCCCAGAAGAACACAGGTGTGTTTATTCGCATGTGATGCTGCGCATGTGGAAGCACACACAATTTCCTACATGGGTGTGAGATCTGTGCTGGAAATCCATAATAGGGGAAGTGGCACTATTTCGTGGTACTTGGTTTGTGGCTGGGCTGGACTTCGTGGCCACCACATCAGTAAGCTTTGTGCTCGTGGCTTCGACTAAAGCAGTGTAACCATGGAATCCATTATCCTTTGAACCCCTTGAATGACCAAGCACCAGAGTGTCGACCTTGTGACAGGAAATAACTGGTGAGGTCTACCTTTCATCTGTTGAGGTTTACAAGACAACATATGATGGCATCTTCTTTGAAACAGGGTTTGCTTTGGGTTTTGAGGAACTCAGCTTTATGCTGGATGGTTTCCTAGAGTCAGGGGAACACAATCATAAAGTACCAACATTGCTTTTTAATTATACAAGTGCTAATAAAGTTGTCAGCTTCAACCTGGTTTTCTCATGAATGAGAGGGCATCTGGCCCACTATACATTTCATTTGCTGGGATTAGGTATGCTCATATTTATACATTATACAATACTGAATTAAACTATGGGTAGGTGCTCCCATCTTTGGATCCTGGAACTGGATTCTACACTATAGAATCTTCAGTGAAACATCTTAGAATTTGGACCCATTATTTTGAACTTGGCAATCAGGTGATTTTCTAAGTATGATTAAAGTTGGGCAATGAGTAATTACATGACTTTAGGGAAGAAATGACTAGAATCACCTGCTATGATCAGTAAAGCCAAACAGTAGTTCTTATTCAGGTAGTCAAACTACAGGTTCAGAACTCAAAAGAAATACACATAAGGTACGCAGATGTCTCCACCAAAAGAGTTCATTCTGGTCTTACGTGCTAAAAACGTCTGCATGGCGAAAAGTAGGCAGAGAACGAAATGCCAGAATTAGAATGGAACTGACCTATGCATATATTTTCATCGTCCAGCTTTGCAGAAGCATTTCTGTAGTAGCCCAGCCTGCACAACTCACAGTGCTGCCCTCTAGTGTTGTGTTTACAGCTCACACAAATGAATGTACTGAGCAGATCGATGTAACTGCACCGGTTGGAGTGGCCGAAGCATTCACAGTCTTGCAAGGAAGAACAAAAATGTACACAAAGGGTATTCTGTAGCAGAGTAATAGCAATTCACATGCCCTTTTTTAATTAAAAAATGAAGCATGAACAGATTATGAATGAAGAGTAGCACAACATGTTAATTAATGTTACGGCAGCGTACATGGACAACAACAGATGTTTGGCGGCTATGAAGGTGGCATCTCTTTTCAGGAAGGTTAGAATGATCAGACATCCATAACATTGCACCAAGGTAACTTTGGAGTCCGTAGCTCTACCAGAGCTAAAGCACTGCAGTTGTAAACCTTTCATGGGACAGCTTCCAGGATGCAATGCACAGCCTTTTTTTAAGGCCAGGTGGTTTTGCTAGAAGGTGAGCACACTGTTGAGAACTTCTCATGATGAATGTTGCATGCCAAATGTCCATTGTGATGCAACATGCTCAGGATTGAAGTGTGCTGCTTTGAAGGATCCATATCCAGCTTGGGTAAGCTTACTGGTCCATGTTTGTAACTGTAGGCCAAGGTGGCCTCCATGGGTTGAAGTGCCTTCCACCAGGCATGTTTAACCATGACTGCTTCCAGACATAGATAGCTTGTTATCAGCAATCTGGTAAGATTTGGAATTGATTACTACAACTTTAAGAAATGGGATGCTGCCTTTGAAGACTACCTGGACATTTCTTTTAGTTTAAAATATAGTTACTAGACTGCTAACAGAAACCAGGTTTTCTGCCCATATTTCATCTTAAAGATCTGCACCAGATCCTTGTGCATTTCTGAACCAATGCAAAAGGTTGGTGCTTTACTTCTGAGCTATATATGACTTGAGGACTTGAAAGACACTATGGCTTCATGTCAGTGAGCCTGTACAGCCAGACTGCCTGTATATATTCAGACTTTCTTTAAATACCCTCTTGTAGTGTCTGCATCTTATGAGGTGAGGTGGATAGCAGTGAGAAGTAGTGCCTTTTTGCTGGTATTGGCTTGTTAGCTTTCCAGCATCAAATGAAACCCTTTTAATTTCCTCAGGCATTTGAAATTATTTTCATTCCTCCTGAAACTGCTTCTAGACTGATTTTATGGGTTGTTTTTAGCTATGTTTGTTTCTTTCTATTTTTTTTTTAAAACAAGCAGCATTTCTGCTTCAGAAAAAAAATCTTTGAAGGGGTAGAAATAAATAAATAGACATAGGAGTTGCTGACCAGGTAGGATGTGGAGGATTTTCCTTTCAACTTTCATGTCCATTGCCTCCCATTCCATGTTGACACTGGTAGTTGTGAAAAATTCCTGATAATGAATCAGGATGGATGGAACTGGGGGTACATCTATTGATAGCTGGACAGATAAAGATGAAAGTGGATGGTTAATGCACATGCGATTGCCTGCTTTGGTAGCCCAAATGCCATGGGCATGGTTTCCTTCCATATGCTGAATTCTTGGTGAATGACAGCAAATACCCAACATGGGTTGAGTTCTGCTCTGTCAGACCAAAGGCCTAGCATTCATCTCCCATAGAAGCCAACTAGTTGGCTGTGGGAAGCCCAGGGGAAGAACATGATGGCAATGGTGCTTTCTGTTGCTCTCCAGCAACAGGAATGCCTCTGCTACTGGAGGAATATTGAGCTACCATGACAGTGGAGAGCCTTATCCTCTGCACATTAGTTTAATTCATTTTTGAGGCCGTCATTATGTAGTAGTGAAATTTCACTCTGCGATGGTGAAGAACGTTCGTTTATCTGCCCATTTAGCTTCATGGGGTGACCTTTAGCTTTAGTAGTGTGTGTGTGTGTGTGTGTGTGTGTGTGTGTGTGTGTGTGTGAGAGAGAGAGAGAGAGAGAGAGAGAGAGAGAGAGAGAGAGCGCGTTTTATCCACTTTCTCCACAGTGTGCCTAATTTTGTAAACCTTTATCATGTTTTGCCCTTTTTCTATACTAAAATGTCCCAAATTGAGCCATCCTTCCTCATAGGAGAGTTGCGCCATAACTGCCCAGGTGAAACTAACTGTTCTTCCAATTTTGCTTGGTGAAGCTGTGCATGATAGTTTTCGGTATTCCAGTGAAACCACTTTGGATTGGGATCATGAACTTTCAAGAGCAGGCATTTACCTTTCTTGCCACCCTGAAAACCCACCCCCTATTGATAGAATAAAACAAGGGGAAAAAAGTCTCCATTAGAGTCTGGAAGTTTCATCTCCCCAGAGCTCTGTGGTCCACATCTGAATCAGAGCCATCAGAGTAAAGAAAGCTATCATGTATAGCTCCGGGATGCATGATTCGATGCACGTTTAGCTTGGCCCTTAATCAGGGTACAACTAAGGAGAAAGAACGAGAGGTGATCTGCTGGGCATTCATATGATAGGCATCCACTCTTGCCAACAGAAAATGTGGCTTTCTCTGTCTCCATGACAAACTAGGGCAAAACAGCGTGACCAGATGCCCAGTGAACTGCACTCTGAAGTCATCATTCCAGGGCGTCATTAACACTTATCAGCAGAATGGGAACTGTTTTTTAATCGTTCTTTCCACATCACACCATCTCAGGTCCTTTTGGATATAGGAACCAAATATGGATGGAGTCAATCAAATGATTCTTTCCCTCACCTAAATGTAGTTGGGACTGGTAGAGCTCCATTTGAGCATGATGGAACCAACTGGCGGCACTGCATAGCCCTTCCCAGAATGCTATGGGGCGAATCCATAGTGAGGCTTCCCATCCCTCTGTCTGGTAAGTGAACTGGAGCAAAATCACAAACCTCCCATGTTAATCTGCCTCCTCATCTTATTTGTCATTGTAATGTTAACTCTCTTATTTCAAATTTCATGCCAGTTAACATTACCAGCCTACATGTAAATAATTAGAATTTCTCAGACCTGGCAGAATTTGATGGTGCAATGCAGGAAACTCAAGCACTGCTAGTGGAGCAGATGTGCTTGCACTTTATGCTTGGGCAACCAGTCGCTCAAGGAGATACACAACTGCTTGCACAGTTTCACCAGCACTTTGCACAACCCATTTCACAGCTGTGCTTGTGCTAATGTAACATTTGTTGGATTCTCCTTTTGTGCACACTTCAGAACCTAGTTTCTGCTAGCACAACAAATTTTACACTAGCAGAATAACACAGCTGGCTACTGCCTCATAGACACACTAAATAATATAATAGCAATATAATTCAATGAAGAAAGACTCACACAGTCGATTCATTTCACCAACAGGGGACATGTTTATCATTAGTTTAGCATCTACTTCACCTGACTTAATCATGGTAGCAAATGACCTTCCAAACAATTCACTTCTAATCAGCATTCTGTGACCCATTATGTTGGGACACTGGGAAGAGTAGGGGAAACAATCAGAACCCAAGTCAGCTTCACCTAACCACATTAGCCTGGAGCGTCCTAAAAGAAGAAAGCAATTTTCATCCATTATTTAATTTCTTAATTGAAGCTTTATGAGTAAGAGCCATGCTTCCCTTCCTTCCTCCCAGCCATGCCTTTGATCAGCTGGTGTGCTGATTATACATTTGCGTCCACTGAGCCCCGTTAGCTACGTAAGTGCTTCGATCCACTGTCAGCTGATTTTATCCGTACACTGAAGTATGGCACACCATACAGGAGCAGACTGAAGGGTTTTCTGTGAATGAGCTCCTTGTTGCCTTTACAGTTGTAAGATAGTTGGTTAACAATTTAGCTGAACTGCAAAACACTGAAGAGTAAAGTATAAATTCAAACACTAATTAATGGCTATGATCTCTGAAGAGGCAACTCTGCTCAGCAAATGCTGTGATGGAGTTGCAGCATCCTTGAACCCCATGCAGCAACTCCTTCCTTCCTTCCTTCCTTCCTTCCTTCCTTCCTTCCTTCCTTCCTTGTTCCAGGGTCCAGATACAAATGCTTTGGCAACATTCCTGAGTGGTTAGGCCACACATGGTCTTGGTCAGAGACCTTAATCACTCTGGATATTTCTTATCCAAACGGGAAGGATAAAAAACACCTTTTCTCGGAGACAAAACAGAACAGAGAACAGATCTACTATCTCACATACACAGACTCCAAACTTACTCTCATTGGAGACTCACCAGGGAATATCTTGTGTACCTTCACCCCCTTGTTGGGACGGGCTCCATAATCCACAATGGTAACACATCAAGCAATTAACAGAATCCAGTCTCAAAGAAGAAGGAACACTATGCCCTCTTATCAGGGCTAGGCAAAGGAGCTATCCCCTGTCCCTGCTCATGACCCAACAGTCAAGTGAAAAGCACTTCTGGAATGAAAAAGAGGCCAGCTGAACAGTAACCGAAAGCTACTTGCTGGCCCAGTTCCAGCAAATCCAAGCAGACTGACTTCCTCGGAGAAACCAGGGTGGAAAAAGAGCATCATGTCACAAACAGTCCAGGTGTCCCTGACTTTTCAAGCTCATGAAGAAGAGCAACTTTTGATAGGATGTAAGAAGCATAGCCAGTCATCCTGAGAGGACCTTCCACAGGTAATCCAAAAGATCCAATAAGGATGTGAAAACAGCACTACCAGCCAGTTCTGAAGTGTCCACACACTAGCCTGGCCATGTTTCTTTGCTGTCAGGCTTCTTGTAAGATAAACTGGCAATCCAGTCCCATGGAGACAGCCTGCTCAGTATATGATGGGTTACCTGGTGCACAGGAAAAGTAGGTTTGATTTCTACAATGTGCCAGTCCTGATTCTAACTCTTCCCAGGTAAAACTGCCCTCCTTTACTCTATTTGGCTCACAATGGAAACTGCCACTGGGGGAAATAGCAGCTTTGGGGCTGTTTTCACTGGGACTGCAGTGGCCTGGGCTGGGCACTAGTATGATGCTATTCTGATTCCTACCCCACTCATTGTTATTTTCAAAGTAAAAGCAAAGCATGCTAAATCCACATGGAAAGCATACATAGATGCATGGAATAATCCCATGGCTCGCAACAGTGTTTAGAGGAGCATAGGATGCTTTGAATTTCCAGATTCAAGGCTGGAAAAGAACTCTGTCCTCA